TGATTTCCCATATGCAAAGAAATCCCCTACCAGGGGAAAACAAGCAACGTTAGAAAGCTGTTGGGTTTGTCCTGCTATCATTACACGGTAAAGCCAAATTCACATTTAGTAGCCTGATGGGCATTAAAAATATTAGTCACCAAATTAATCCCAACAAATAACAATAATTGATTGGCTCATTGATGTATTTCCCCTTGTCTTCCCCAACCTTTCTCTAACTAGTCAGAAAGGAAAGTTTTCATATTTTCTGAGAATCTCATTACTGCTCTCAAACCATGCTCTGTATCTTAGTATAATTTAAAAAATGAGTCAGCACAAGCACCTCAAAAAACTAGCATAGACTATGAAGCTATTTCTCTTCATAATAGAAAAGTGCAAAAATTTTTAAAAAGGTTATTCAGGGTACTAAAGGTAATAGAAGAATACATGAAGAGTGAATGTTGTAGTAGATTTTGCAAGCTAGCTTCCAAAAGCAGGTAGAAAAAGATGAATGTTCCTTATCAATCAATACAAGTATTCATCATCTCAATGGTGTCATCCATGTGAAAATGGACATAGTTATTAAGAATAAACCTAAAGAAGAAACTCTCTTGTATGTGACAAATTATAACTTCTCCTTTCTTGAATATTGGGGCAGCAGGGGAATAGGAAGTCAAGATACTCCAAGTATTAACTTCATTTGCAAATTGAATTCCACATAATTATGCACCATGCTAATGCAATACTGTTTTTAGTAATGTAATCCAAATGAAAATTTAGAAGAGGTAAACTCCCCCTGAACTGCAAACACATCTGAATGTCAATTCAATTAGGAGTCTATTTAGTCATTACACTTCTTAGAATAAAGCGAGTTAAAGGCCAGGAAAAGAACACTTGCTTTAATCACTGAAACAATCTATACATATTTCTCAAGGTTCCACTTAACTCATCCCGCAACATTTATATTAAAAGTGACCTACCACTTAAGTTATCCAGGAGAGTCAGGGAAGAGTTTTAAGGCTGAAGGGGATTCCTCCTCGGCTCTACTACCATACCCTAAATTTCGCCTCGTTCTTAACTCTTTTCCATGACACTGTGTATGGCTTTTAGGCAAGTCCAGAAAAATGGCTATCGTTACTACTTAATATAAACCATGGGGTTCTGTATCATGTAAACCCAGGGCAACTCCTCTTTGAAGCACCGACATTCAAGGCTCTACATAACATGTTTCAATTCTATCTTAGTGCTGTACATTTTCCAAGTACCTGCGAGGAAACAGATAGCAGCACCTCCATTTTTCTGTTAATTGTGCTTTTGTTGCTGTTCTAAGGCTGTTAAACTTTGAAGAGAGTTGGGAAAAGACAAGAGCATTTTGCCTTCCCAATTAGGTATTCAGGCTTCCCTCAGTAAAGCTGTCATGAAGTAGCGCAAAGGGTCAGAGACAAACCACATGGCATCTGATGTTTGTCTGTATAAGTTTAAAATAAAAATGTGACACTACAAGAAGGTTAACATGTGGACCTAATTTTGAAAATACAAACAGGAAGCACCCCCACCCCAATATTACCATTTAAAAAAAAGGAAACCAAACCTCAAAGATACCTTCCAAGGAAGTGAAGGGTGTGACCCAAACTAACAAAAGTAATAAAATGTCATTTCAACTCTGAAACCATCAAAAGTGAGGGTCTCATTCAACCAACTAAAAATCTAACACCTGTAAATTACTCTTCTCTTTTGATTAGTAAAAACGGCATAGATTTAGACGTGCAAAATCTTCTCCAAACTGACATAGGCTTTTCGGTAGCAGAGGATCATCATTAATAAAACACCCAATGTCAAGATTTTACTTCAAATAAGGCCACTATAATTAAGAGTGAATACAATTTTAAAAAATGTTTATCACTCTGATGCTGTACAAAAACTGTCTGATCAATGGAAACTAGATTGTTAACTTTGACTTTCTTATTCCCAGAAGCAAGCATAAAACTGTTGTTTTTCCAACATTGCAGGGGAAAAAAAACACTTCTGATTTTAGAAGAGGTCTATTCACAAAGCTCAGAATTAAAAACATTTTCTTCCTTTAAATACCACATGTTTGAGGACAGCAATAGTGTGGAGCTAACTTTGAAGCATTATTTTTATTAAGTTGCACAGTTAAAGTATTTTGATACTTTGATACATCATAGTATCAAAATAAAAGGATATTATTCTGAAGAGTCCAGTAACCTGGAATTGCCAGATAGCTTTTTAAAAGAATAAGTTTCAAATTATCAGAAAAATCATACAAACTAGGGTTATTTTGCTTCCTTTTGTAGGAATAATGCAGTAATCTACACTCTTAACAGAAAGGGAAAAAATGTGTCACAGATAGAATGTCCAGAAATCTGTGAATAACTTTATGAGATACAGACATGTTTGTAGGGCACGAAAATAGTTAGTCTTCCTTCGATTCCACCTGTAACCTGCATCTAATCTTGAGCATGTTATTTACCTATCTATAACGTCTTCCTTTTACCATAAGACTACTGTGTCACCTACCTACATAACAATAAGCCAAATAAACCACAACAAATGGATTCATAATATATAAGCCTAACAAAAATTACAGACAATTTGAATACTAACAATACTATGATGTGAAAAAACTCGACTTAAGTATCAAAAAGTAATAAGCGGCAACTTTCGTCTTGATGTGGCTTTTACATATGTAAATGACACAAAAACAATCAAGAGAGGAAGAAAATGGAGATGAGATGAAAAGTCAGAGCAGGATAGGAAGTGTTGACCAAAATATTTATGTTGTAACACTCCAAACGATGATAGCACATTTTTCTCCTACTATCATACATACTAGGAAGTACACACCTTAAATTTCTTAACACAATCCATATTAACAACCTGTGGGCAAAAAAAATGCAAGCACTGAAAAGGTGAGAACTGATGAGAAGGTGGGATAGTTTATTTAGTTGGGTATACAGCAAAGATTTTGTGCAGAGTTTAGCTTCAAGTTATGCAATAACCAAACTGCTGGTGATAGAAATCAACTTTTTTTTTTTCTGATGGTTTGCTTTACAACAACAAAAAAAATCTCCATTCCTTCCCTGTGTCTCAATCTGGAGCTTGAAATTTCATCTTCCAGAGGCTACAGTAGCAAAAAGTCATCTCCTAGATAACACACTTACCTGACCCAAGGCGTGGTGTTGTTTGAATTAAATGTAACAGATAACACAAATTGTCACATAGGAAGTTTTTCTTTAAATCCACAGCCCCTTCTCTCATTTAGCCCTGTCCATTCCAACAACTATGATCTTCCATGAGATGGAAACTGGTAGCCAAATGAATAAACGAAACAACCCGAAGTCTTAAAATAAAATCAATCAATAAGATTCTCCTCATTTGAAATGATCAGAACCACTCCAATATTTACAGTGTCACAAAATGAAATTTTAAAACAAGAAAGGCACACTCAATAAAATACATCCTCACATAGGAACTGACAGGCAATGAACATAACGCAATATAACATAAGCAAATGGACAATAACAGAATGTTGGGGAGAGAGGCACAGTTCTATTATCTTAATTGAACAATAACAAAATTATCTGAAATAATGTAGACCCAACAGCTGAAAGCTTATTATGGCCCAGGCAGCTATCCAACAGCTTTGGAAACCTAAGATCCAAGCAGACCTAAACACCACTTGAAGACTGAAAAAAATGACATAAGCCCAAGCATGATATTCGGTGTCACGCTGGTCCTTTCAAAGGGCATTCCCTGAGGACACTGCAGAGAAAATGTATGGAATTGTATTTAGGCAAAGATCTATATACTGCATGGTGCTTTGGGAAGAGCACGAATCTCAGTCCTTGAAGTTTCCTGGATACTCAACAAACAGCCATGTCACCCGAGCAGGTCACTTACTCCACCTATCTGGGCCTCAGTTTCCTCATTTGTACAATACAAGAATGTGGCATCATCGCTGGGTTCCTTTCCAGCTCTAACATTCTTTGACCCACTTTTGGCACCATTTATTTGATACAAGCTATGGCGGGATCACAGGGACCAAGAAGAAAAGAACTGACTCTGGCTCTTTGGGAAAGAGAGAATAGGTATCTCTTTTAGCCTTTAAAATTCTTGTGGTTTTCATTAACCCCATCTTCCTAAAAGCTGGCACTTGTTTTTCTTCTTTGCCTTTTCCATCACTGCTGGCTACAAGTGTTTGCAACCGCCTCTTGCTCCGTGTGAGTTCTTTCCTCTTTGATCACCCCGACCATCTTGCCAGATTCCTTTAGCCTCAGACCAGCTTTTGTGATACAACAACTCCCCTTCCGACTCTCCATATCTACCCCCGACACCAGGAGCACTTTTAACCCTTTATCCCCGACTAGAAAGAAAAAGCACACTGAATCCCACGGCCACACGAACGAGCCCAGGCCTGGCGGGTCCTGATGTGGGATCCCGCCCCCCAGAGTCTTATCGAAACGTTCGTATTTGTTGTCTTGACTCCTTATAAGGCCCTGTTTCTTGAAGCTTTGCTAATACCCCCCACCGCACCAGGCACCCCCGCAGGCTCATCCCATCCCCGGAGTCCCGGGCACCTCTTTTGAAAAAAAGAAGTTAAAGCAAGGAAGACGGCTGGCGCTATTCGGAATTGCAACGTGAAAGTGTGAGGCGGCTGACAGCAGCCCCCCGAGCTCCTAGGGGGTCGGCGCGGGGTCCCCACACACCCACTCGGACACACGCGCACGCAGCCTTTAAAGCGCACGCCCCCCAACGCGCCGCGGCGTTCGCACGTACCCCTCGCGCGCCCCGCATTGCCCCCAGCCTCCCCGGCAGCCAGCCCGGACCCCCTCTCCCCGCGCGCGCCCCTCGCCCAGCGCGCAGCCACCGCGGCCCGGGAGCGATGGCGGCCGCGCGGCCCTGACGGGTGGCTGAGCGGCTGGAGAGCGGGCCCCGCCCGGGCTGGCTCCCCGGCCTGGCTCCCCCGGCCCCAGGCCCCGGGCTCGCCCCGCAGCGCCTACCTCGCTCGGCCCCTCGGGCGCCCGCGGCTGCTCCGGCCCCGCTGTCTGGCTTGCCCGCCCGCCCGCTCACTCCCTCCCTCGGCCGGGCCGCCGCGCGGAGTCGCCTGCGCTGGGTCCCCGCCCGGGGTGACGGCTCCAGCCGCCGACTCTCCTCCCGCCGGGGCCCGCGGGGGCGCGCGCGCCGCTCACGCGCGGAGGCCCGGGTACGCGCGCCGCTGGCAGCCCGGAGCGCGCCCCGCTTCCTGGTTCCGCCCGGCGCGCGCTCGCCAGCCCTCGGGCGCTCTTGGTCTCTCGCGCCCCCTCCGCGGCCGCTCCTGAGGTACCTGGACCCCCTCGGCGCACCCGAGGTGGCGGCGCGCTCGGCGGGGCGGTGCCGGCGCCGCGCGCACCCCCTTTCTGCGACGGTGGGGTGTCTTCCCGGCTCGGCTCCCTAGCCGACCCCGCACCGCAAACACATGCTGCTTTGTTTGGGTTGAGTCGACCACCACTGGCAGGGCTAGGGCGCACTGTCGTGGTCGTGTTGATTGGCCCCCTCCGCGGCCCGCCCACCTCCCTCCCTGGGAGCCCAGGCCCGCGTTCCGGGTCCTCTCCCTCCCAGGCCGAGGTCAGAAGTCCACAGCGGCCCCGATCAATAATTATCCTGGGTTTGCCCCCGGGAGGGCGTCTCAGCCAGGGCTCCTGCCGCCTGCATGGGCACGGCAGGAGTTCACATTCACCCAGGCCGAATGCACCTGTCCGTGTTCCAGGGTGAACCTACAGGGTACGGGGCGCCTGGGGCCGGTTCCCTTCCTGGGGAAATCTGGCTGGCTCCCACCAGTCAGAGCTGCGGGAGGGACTGCTCTCTCTAGAGAAGAAAGAATAAACAGGGTCACCTGTAGGATCCAGGGGAAGGGGGTCCCCCAGATCCTTTCCACGTGCTGGGGAGGGAGTTGCGGTGTGTGGGAAGCCAGCCTGAGTCACCCACTCTCCTCCCCTCTGCTTCGTCTCTCTCCCGGAGCTGGCCAGCGGTTTCCCTGGCAACCCTCCAAGGACTAGCACTAAAGCAAGACATAGGAAAGCTCCAGAAGCCCAGCTGCATGGGCCAAAAGAGAGAGAAGGACCCCTCCTGGCCCCACTCAGACGCACACAGCTCCCCTGTGTGTATGCAAAATGTTCATGTCCAGAGATGGCCCAGAGTTGCAAGTTCTCCCATAGTCCTCCCTGGGCAGCTCTTTCCAGCGGCTTTTTCTTCACCTCCCCGAATGACACCAACCACAAAGGTCTCCAGCTCGTCAAAAAACCCTCGTCCCCTACCCAGGCCACTGCTCCAGTCCCACACTCTGGGCCAACACCTGGCACAGTGCTTTGCACAGAGTAGGTTCAGGGAGCTTGGAGGCCGGAGAAGGAAGCAGGAAGCAGGATGGATGGGCCAACCAACCCCGAGCTCTCTGGCAACCTCCCTGACAGTCACTGCCCATGCATGATGTTTTGACACTCAGGCGCTCCATGTTCTCCGTATTTCTTTTTTCTTTTCTTTTCTTTTTTTGAGACGGAGTCGCTCTCTGTTGCCCAAGGCTGGAGTGCAATGGTGAGGTCTCAGCTCACGGCAACCTCCGCCTCCCAAGTTCAAGTGATTCTCCTGCCTCAGCCTCCTGAGTAGCTAGGATTACAGGCGCATGCCACCACATCCGGCTAATTTTTGTATTTTTTTAGGGGTTTCACCATGTTGGCCAGGCTGGTCTCAAACTCCTGACCTTGTGATCTGCCCGCCTCAGCTTTCCAAAGTGCTGGGATTACAGGCGTCAGCCTCCGCACCTGGCGCATGTTTCTCTTTCTTGTGAGCTTTCATCCCTGCACCATGCTCTTCCCTCTGCCTGGAATGTCCTGCCTTCTTGATGCCTGCAATTCCGTGACATTTGCTTCAGGCAGCATGGCCTCCCTCCTTGTTTCCCACTGCGTTGTTCATGCCTCTATTACAGCGCTTCTTGTGTTGAAGGACAATTTCATGTTTTCATGTTTCTGTCTCCATCCCCAAGGGCAGACACAGTATCTTATTCACTTTTAAATCCCCCTACTCATGTTCAAGCCCAGAACAGACACTCAATAAATATTTTTGGTACAAATCTTATGCTCTAGGAATGGAAATGGAGGCTACAAGGACTATGCAGTCATTAAGAGTACAGGGTCTAGCCCAGTGTGGTGACACACACCTGTGGTCCCAGCTACTGAGGAGGCTAAGGTGGGAGGATCACTTGAGCATGGGAGGTCAAGGGTGTGATTATTGTTATTTTTTTTTTTTTTTGGAGACAGAGTCTCACAAAAAAACGTCTCAGTGTGGTGTCACAATCACAGCTCACCGCAACCTCCTGGACTCAGCAATCCTCCTGCCTCAGCCTCATGAGTAGCTGGAACCACAGATGTGCTCCACTACTCCCAGATAATTTTTTAAAATTATTGTAGGCTGGGCGCGGTGGCTCACGCCTATAGTCCCAGCACTTTGGGAGCCCAAGGTCAGGTGTTCAAGACCAGCCTGGCCAATATGGCGAAACCCTGTCTCTACTAAAAATACAAAAATTAGCTGGACGTGGTGACATGCGTCTGTAGTTCCAGCTACTCAGGAGGTTGAGGCAGGAGAATTGCTGGAACCCGGGAGGCGGAGGTTGCAGTGAGCCGAGATTGCACAACTGCACTCCAGCCTGGGGCGACAGAGTGAGACTCCATCTCAAAAAAAAAAAAAAAAAAAAAAGATTTGTAAAGACACGGTCTCACTATATTGCCTGGGCTGTTCCAGAACTCATGGCTCAAGCAGCCGTCCCCCCTCAGCCTCCCAAAGTGCTGGAATTACATTTGTGAGCCACTGTGCCCAGCCTGAAGCTGTAATGAGCCATGATTGTGCCACTGCTCTCCAACCAGGGCGACAGACAGAGTGAGACCTGTCTCAAAAAAAAAAAAAAAAAAAAAAAAAGTACAGGTTCTCAAACCAGACTCTGTCAATTCCTTGAGCCAGGTAATCTTGAGTGTGTTTTCCTCTATCTTCTTGTTTGTAATGTGGTGCTAGAGATAGTACCCACCTGATCGGGTTGCGAGAAATAAGTGTTTACTACACATAAGGTGCTTCCCTGTAAAGCACTATATAGTGGTTAACTACTACTGTGGTGTTTAGTAGCAGCTCAGATGAATACTCCTCTTCCCAAGACCCGCCAAGGTCTAGGACTCAAGCCAGCTGGTTTGTTTAGATGTCCTGAAGGGGACCAGGCGCGGTGGTTCACACCTGTAATCCCAGCACTGTAGGAGGCCAAGGAGGGTGGATCACCTGAGATCGGGAGTTCGAGACCAACCAACATGGAGAAACCCTGTCTCTACTAAAAATACAAAATTAGCTGGGCATGGTGGTGCCATTACAGGATTACATGCCTGTAATCCGAGCTACTTGGGAGGCTGAGGCAGGAGAATCACTTGAACCTGGGAGACGGAGGTTGCAGTGAGCCAAGATTGCACCATTGCACTCCAGCCTGGGCAATAAGAGCGAAACTCCATCTCAGGAAAAAAAAAAAAAAAAAAATGTCCTGAAGGGTGGGTGGGAATGCCTCTTGATTCTTCCATCTGTAGGCACATGTCTGACTGATGGTCACCGGCACCAAGCTAGACCTGGCTGAGCTAGACCTGGCTGGGTGTGTGCACAGATGCCAAGGACAGAATGTTCTGGGTGACTACCTCAGCAAAACAGAATGTTATCATCCTGGGATGGGAAGGCCTGACACCTGCTTCTCTGCTTGACAGTTCTGATGGGGTGAGACCCTCTTCTTCTAGGCCTTGGGAACATATTCCCTTAAGTTAAGGGGTCACCAGACTTAAGACATGACAGAAAGAAAGAAATTGAACAGGAAACTAGGATCCTGAAAGACCCCACAGTCCAACCCAGAGGGAATGACCCAAGGAGGTACCTGGAGATGCAGCAATGTCCACTGGAGGGCCTCATCCCTTAGTGCACTGGCCTGAGCCAGGAGAGAGGCTTGGGGGAAGAGCCTGGGGGTCTAGTCCACAGCTCTTGTCCATGCATGCCCCTGCTCCCATCCAGGACTGCCCGCAGCCTCCTCCCCTCTCTCTCTCATGGATGAACACATGGCTCTCGGAGCAGGCAGCTCCCCTACTTCACATCTTCCCTCACTCCTGCCTCAGAGATCATGAGGTCATTTTCTGGGAACGTCATTGAAGCCACAACCATGATCCCCTGTGGCCAGAAACCAGAGACCTTTGTTATTGTGGCTTCCCTCCTGCATCCCAGGAGTCAGGCTGACCCTGGGCGACCACTGGCCACACATTTGCTAAGAAAGGGCACTGTGGGAACATCCCTTTTTCCCTATGGGGATGAATCCTTCCATAGGGAGATAGGTCAGTACAGGACCCTGGAGCCATGTGGATATGATATAGGACACTCAACAGATAAGAAGGTGGGGCCACCAGATCTCCAAGGCCTCAGAATGGCGTGGCCTCGGTCTGGAACGGGCTCTGCAGTTTTGGAGGGCTCTGTCAGTGCCCCTGCTTAATTCTGCCAGAGAATTGGTGGTGAAAAGTTAGATCTGGTTCTAAATCCCAGCTCTGCTAACTTACTAGCTGTGTGACTTTGGTCTAGGTACTTAATGTCTCTGAAGACCTCAGTTTCCCATCATGTGTAAGTCATAGTGCGGAGGTAAAGTGTAATATCTGTTTTAAACGCACAGATGTGCATTTAAATGCACAAAAGACCCTAGCAACTGTTGTTGCCCCTCCAGAAAGGCCCTGGGGGACAGGAAAGGGCAGAGACTAACTTTTCACCACATACCCTTTTGAATCTTTTGTTACAAAATACATACCCCATGTGCAGATGCTCCCTATTAAAACATTAGGAAAATGGACAGTTTTTTTAAAGGAAAAAGGAGAGTATTTGTGAAGACAACTAAGCACTGTGCCTGGAACTTGATAAAAAAGCATTTTCTGTCTTTCTTTCCCTCAGCGCAATCCCAGCCAGTGTGCTGGGCCAGGAGAGAGCCGGTGCTTTGTCACATGGAGGGGAGGGGAGAGGGCAGGAGCGATGGATGTGCGGATGCATGGAGGACTCGCCACCCGGAGTCTCACACACCCGCTCTCAGTCTTGCTCCTGTGTGTCTCACCGATCTGGGCTCCCTTCCAGTCAGAGCTAAAGGCTAAAGGGTTGGCAGTCTGGAAAGGCCAAGGATCCCCGACCCCACCTCT